CCAAGATATCAGAATGACCAATGTATAAACAAAATGCTGCGGTTGCTTTTCATTGTCTCTAACAAAAGGTATAAATGTTTGCTGTAATTGTTTAGTTGTGAAGAGACCTGCCTAGGAGGGGAAGACCCTGTGTCCTAGTGCACTCTCTTCCTTTACACAGCTGTTAAAGAGAATAAAGTATCTGACTTTGCTGTACCCAAACAAAGAGTGAGAACTGTGTTATTCTCCGACACAAATAATAACAGACAGAACAAAGTGAATTACCAAGCAAAATAAAACACACAAGTCTAAACCTAATACAGTAAGAAAACGGAATACAGATGAAATCTCACCCTCAGATGTTTCAATAAGCTTCTATCACAGACTGGACGCCTTCCTAGTCTGGGCCCAATACTTACCCCTGGTACAGTCCTTGTTCCAGCTCAGATGGTAGTTAGGGGATTTCTCATGACTGCAGCCCCCTTTGTTCTGTTCCATTCCCTTATATATCTTTTGCATGATGGGGGATTCCTTTGTCCCTCTCTGGGTTCCCACCCCTCCTTCTAAATGGAAAAGCACCAGGTTAAAGATAGATTCCAGTTCAGGTGACATGATCACATGTCACTGTAAAACTTCATTACCCACTTGCCAGCATATACAGGAAGACTTACAAGTAAAACAGAACCACCTACAGACAATTGTCCTGGTTAATGGGAGCCATCAAGATTCCAAACCACCATTAATGGCCCACACTTTGCATAGTTACAATAGACCCTCAGAGTTATATTTCATATTTCTAGTTTCAGATACATGTGTAAGCAGAGTCAGGATGAGCTCTACCCTGACATCTGGTGGTGAATTGTGGCGAGTTGTGGAAAAGAAATTCAGGGGCTGATCTTGTTTGCATAGGCAAACCCACCCTGCCTAGCATGAGCCCACAGCAGCTCAAATGGTCACTGTGGCTGCTGTGGGATCCCCAGTTTCTCTGTTATTGGGGGAGAAGAATAAAGTGTTGTTACCCTGATTATGTGAATCAAGAACAATGGAACTGTTTTATGACAGAGGGACTCGCCATCAACTAAGTAGCACTTGCTAGACAAGGGACATGGGTTCCAAAACCCAGTGGATTGAGAGGAGTGCTTGATAGATGTTTGTAGTGGGTGATCTGAGGCCCCTTTGAGAGCCTGAAATACTAACTGTATCTTTTTCCCCTATTTTCTTCTCTTTTTCTTCCTCTCTCTTTTCCCCCCTCCACTGTGGAATATCAGAGCTAATTTTAAATCTGTTAAGAATCTAGTTACAGGATGCTGAGCTGAACTCGCTTTGAGTCAATAGTGCACCAGCATTGAGGCTCCTCTACTACAAGCTGAAATCACTAAAGAACTAAAACTGGTAAGAGCTGAAATTGCTTGGGGTGGGGGGTGATGATATGTTGCTGAGTGGCTGGTAGAGTTGAGCAGTTTGCAGAATGGCTGGAGTGGCTCATGGGACAGCTGGTGGAGCGGAGTGGCTGGTGGAATGGCTTGTGGTGAAGGCTGCAGTAGAACCCCATGGAGCGGTGGGGCAGTTGGCCTCAGATCATGTAAGGTGCCCCTTACATTGCTTCGCCCGCACCCCCATCACCCAGGCTGGAAGGTAAAACTCTGCAGATAAACT